TATATTATGTCAGAAAATGATAAATTCCATGTAAAAAAACTAAGCAGAGGAAGGGCAGAGAAAGGGCTGGGAATTGAAGGTGGAGCATTTGCTGTTTTCAAATAGCCAAGGAAAGCATTAGAGACAAGGTTACATTTCAGCTAAGGCCTGAAGGTGCAGGGGTGTATATTTGGGAGAGGAGTGTTCCAGGCAGAGGGAAGAGCAAATGCAAAGGCCCTGAGGCAGGTGTGTGCTTACCGTATTAGAGGAATAGCAGGGGCCAGTGGGCCTGGAGTGGAATAAATGAGGACAGTGTAAAATAACGAAGGTTTATTGTGGGAGTAGAACTATTCTTATAATTCCTTTCATACCACTTAGTCAAAGGTAAAGTAGGTGTCTTCCTTCTCATTGCAGCTTCCAGACCATTCTCCCCTTTCCATCCATAACATCCCAGTTTTGAATCTCATGCCAGCAGATAAAGTCATCCATTACCTCTCTGAAATCATAGACTGACCTTTGGGTTTATCCCCCTAATTCTCTGAAGAGGTTTTAGCTTCTGATACACTCTCACTATGTCTGACACTACGTCTGGTCTTAATTCTTGATGATTTCCAAATCTACACTGATGGTCCTTTCATCAGCAGGTCTNTCTGGTCTTAATTCTTGATGATTTCCAAATCTACACTGATGGTCCTTTCATCAGCAGGTCTTGCAGTTCCTTTACCTTCTCCTCTCCAGTGATCTGGGCCTCCACCTGACCTCAGCTATTCCTCACCATGGTCATTTCCTAGACTTTGTCATTACACATACCACGTCCTCTCAACGTGATCTCAAGTTCCAGCATCTCTCTCTGTAACCACCATATTCACTATATGAATATTCCATATGAATATTCATTCCCTGTAATATTCTGACTCCAATATTCAGCTGGGCTTTACAATCCATTGTTTCTACTACCCTCTCATTGTCCTTCACTCCCCTCTCTTCACTTTGTTTTTTATCCAACTTAAATTTCATATTCAATCATGACTGCATACCTTCTATTCTCTAGTTCCCTAATTTAGCAAACTCTAATTCTGGTTAAATTCAGATCTCTACCTGCACCCATGCAGCTGAACACACTTGGAAAAAAGATACTAATTGAACTTGATTTAACTATATGACCTTGAACCTCAAGTACCAAGCAAACATACATTTTCCTTGTCCATGTATTCTTCCACTCTCCTAGAAAGCTGTTTTATACCATCTTCTCTCGTTCTTAAACACCGACACTTCCCCAGCCTCCCTTACGTTATCACCCTCTTGCTTATTTCACTGAGAAAATAGGAACCGTCAGGAGAGAACATCTGTCTTTCTAACTGATCTCCCAGCCACTACCGTTGCCCCTCTACAGTCCATTCTCAACACAACCAGATTAATTCTGAGAAAACTTACGTCAAGTCACATTACCCCCGATCAAAGCCCTTCATGATAGAGCCCCCATGACCATTC